ATTTCTTCTTTTTCTTCTTTTTGTAATAGATGCTGTTATTATTATTTTTGTTCAATCTAATATTAAATTTGTGATACATTAGAGAAAAGATTCAACTTATTGTTTATGAGAATCTCAAACGTTTGTGATTATATGTTTTATTATTTTCAATTCAGTTTATTATTGTTAACTTATTCTATTTTAGTTAGATGAATCATAGATGCTGCTATTCTTTTTATTAAATCTAATATTAGGTTTGATACATTAGGCAAGAGATTCAACTTATTGTTAATGGGAATCCCAAACGTTTGCTATTACACATTTTATTAATCTAGATTTAGTTTATTGTTATTATTAATTCATTCTACTTTAGTTAGATGAATCAATGAAGAATTTTTCTTTTTCTTTTTTTCTTTTTGCAATAGATGTGCTGCTATTATTTTATTATTAAATCTAATATTAGGTTTGATGCATAAAACAAAAGATTCAATTTACAATTAATGAAAATCACAAACATTTTCTATTACACATTTTATTATTTTCAATTTAGTTTATTATTGTTAACTCATTCTACTTTAATTAGATGAATCATAGATGCTACTATTATTTAATATTAAATCTAATATTAGGTTTGATATATAAAACAAGAGATTCAACCTATTGTTAATGGGAATCCCAAACGTTTGTTATTTTCCTTTTTATTATTTTCAATGTAGCTTATTATTGTTAACTCACCCTACCTTAGTTAGATGAATCAATGAACAATTTTTCTTCTTTTTCTTTTCTTTTTTTTTTTTTTGCAATAGATGCTGCTGTTTTTCTTCTATTAAATCTAATATTAAATATGATACTTAAAGCAAGGGATTCAACTTACAATTAATGAGAATCTCAATCGTTTGTTATTTTCTATTTTATTATTTTTAATTTAGTTTATTATTGTTAACTAATTCTACTTTAATTAGCTGCATCATAGATGCTGTTATTTTTTTAATATTAAATCTAATATTAGATTTGACACATAAAGCAATATATTCAACTAACATTTAATGAAAATCACAAACGTTTGCTATTACACATTTTATTTTCAATTTAGTTTATTATTATTAACTCATTCTAATTTAGTTAGATGCATCATAGATACTGCTATTTTTTAAATATTAAATCTAATATTAGGTTTAATACATAACTCTAAAGATTCAACTAACAATTAATGAAAATTACAAAACATTTGCTATTACACATTTTATTTTTAATTTAGTTTATTATTATTAACTCATCCTATCTTAATTAGATGAATCAATGAAAAATTTAATCAAAGATAATATATTATGAAATATTGAAATATAATATATTTCATTATCCTGATTAGCAATGAATAATAATAGTAACTAAGCTAGGATCTCGTTATTCCGTTGAAAAAGAGGGAATATGATGATGAAAGAGTACGGGAGGTTTGGATAAAAGGGGGTAGGTGATTCGAGAATGTTGGTAAGAGATGAAGAAGAAGAAGAAGAAGAAAAAGAAGAATGAGGGTAGGGGAAGAGGATTGCACAGTCTCTAAGAGGAATTTCTTTATCGTTGGAAGGAAGAGAAGCCCTTCGTAAAGTTCAGAAATGCCTTCTCCTCGTTAGTCTCAATTTTCTTGGCGGATAACATAGGCGACACTTCACATCAGGGTGTATGGTAGGAGAAGGGGGTTAGGGGGTGTATGTATGTATGGGGTACACTCGCGTTAATGATAACCGAGGATACACACGATGAATAACATCGTAATAACGAGAGACCGACCGTTGTTCAAGCTCCGAACCTTAATTTTCCTGCCTAATGTTCGGATTAATTTTCCGTTCGCTCTTTTTTTTTTTTTTTTTTTTTTTTTTTTCTCTTTTTTATGTGCTCGAGCATTTTGTTCATTTTCTCTTTTTCTCATACGCACATACACTTTTTTTTTTTTTTTAGTATAACTATATATAAGTATATAAATTTGTTCATTAAATTGAACTTTAATTCTTTGATATGAATGACATTTATATAAATCAATTTTATTATTACTTTAATCAGATAACTAAAAATAAATATTTTTTCTTAGTATAACTATGTATAACTATATAAATTTTTATTTATATATATTATATATCACTATATAAATTTTTCCACCATATTGAACATTAATTCTTTGATATGACATTTATATAAATTAATTTTATTATAAATTTAATTACATAACTAAAAATAAGTATTCTATCTTAGTATAACTATATATAACTATATATATAAATTTTTATTTATATATATTATATATAACTATATATAACTATATAAATTTGTAAAAATACATCAAATTGAACCTTAATTCTTTGATATAAAATTTCTATAAACCAATTTTATAATAAATTTAATCACATAATTAAAAATAAGTATTCTATCTTAGTATAACTATATATAACTATATACATAAATTTTTATTTATATATATTATATATAACTATATAAATTTTTCCGCCATATTGAACATTAATTCTTTGATATGACATTTATATAAATTAATTTTATTATAAATTTAATTCAAATACTTAAAAAATAAAATGCATGCGTTTGAGATTAACTAAAAAATACAATTTAAACATTCATGAAAAATATATGCACATATACATATATGTGAATGTGTGTGACTTTTTAAACGGGTTTTTGAAAAGGTACATCGCATACTCGGGCAAGTATACTCTGGCTATGACTGCGTTGGTGGGGTGCTCCTGGCCCGAGCAAAATCTCAGCCCGTAGGAATGACAATAGACTGTCAGATAATGAATCCCCACTGTCACCCTTTCCCCAACCTCACCGCACTACCACCCTCGTCAACTCCATGTCCTAAAACCTACCCTCGATCCCGTTCTATCTCTCTCTCTCTCTCTATCTCGTACTCTCTTTCCTTTCCTTCCTCCCCTTTTCACCCTTTCTCTCTCTTTCACGGTTTACATCTACTACCTTCCATCTACCCTCCTCTCTCCTCTCTCTCTCTCTCTCTTTCTCTTACATGCCACCGAAGCGATAGCTTCGAAAGAGACGCGCTACTTTCCCGAGGAACAAACTTGAATCGCGTGATCTTTTCGTGGATCGATTCACAAAACTCTACGTCAACTAAATTTTCCTCACAAATTATGTTTTTTTTAATATGTGCATACAAATTAGTATGTATTAACACTTTACTTTAATATAAATTAAATATAAAATACAAAATACAAAGATATAAATTTTAAATATTAATATAAATATAAATGATTCTACTTGTAAAATTAATAACAAACTCAACAAAATTTTTGTTCTTAAGGTTATTATAAAATTTAACAATCATTAAATTGTCCAATAAAGCTCCCATTAATTTAAATAAATATATTTATTAGACAATAAATTAACTAAACACAACATAATATGCTCATACAAATTAACGTGTATTAGCAATTTACTGTAATATAAACATAAAATATTTCTACATATTTGATTCTACTCATCAAATTAATAATAGACTCATATTTTTGTTCTAATGATTATTATAAAATTTAAACATTATTAAAATTGTCCAATAAACCTTCCTTCATTAATTTAAATAAATATATTTAATAAACATTAACTTGACTAAACACAATACAATCCAATATATTTATTCAAAACAAATGTACGAATTATTAATATTATTATTAATATTATATAAATGAAAAGAAAAAAAAAAGGACGAAGTGTATCGCCCTTATGAGTTGACAATATGCGAAGGGGTGCGAGAACAAGCTTAATCTCCGTGGTACTTTATATCTCTCGCTAACCGCATCCCCCTCTCGTTCTTTTCACCCTCGGCTCTTGTAGCAAACAGGACTATGACCGAGTAGGCGAGGCGTCCACTTAGCGCTAATGCTCCTTTTATTGGTCAAGATTTCAACCGAAAGCCTGAATAGATGACTGCTTTCCACTCCTCTCCTTTCCTCTCCTCTTCAACCCTCAGCACGAGATCTCCTCACTTCTCTTCTTCAACTTGCTTTCCGGTGAAAATTAAACGCACCCCCGATCGATTACTCTCTTCTTATTATTCTTTTTATTATTATATAAATCATGATTTTTTAAATAAAATGTTCATTCATTTTTTAAAACAATATATTTCTATTGGGTTGTCTGAAAAGTTCGTGCCGATTTTCGATAGATGACATTAAAGTTGTTTTATTAAAAAACCTGAAAAGTTCTGAAAGCATGAAAGGTACTTACGTATTAACACCATGGCACCGCAGCAAAAATTCCGCTAATGCGCCAATAAAGAGCAATCTTGTTGTTCGCACATAACAACCTTGTTGTTTGCACACAGTAACCGTCAGGGTTTCGTCAGGGTTTCGTCAGGGTTATGACGACAGCATCAGGTGAAAGAAAATAGAGACTGTTTTGAATCTCTATGTTAAATTCTATATCGGCCCATTTTCTACCAAAATCCGATTGACTACTTTTTATAAATAAAATGCTTTGAATTTTAAATAAAGTTTTTTATTCTATGATTTGTCGCAACAATTTAAGATGTAGATTGGCGCATTAACGGCATTTTGCTGCGGTGGCGTTAATACGTAAGTACCGCATGAAATTTTGAAGTTATTATATTATTTTTATAATTATATATATATAGTTATATTTATTATGTAATAAATATATAACAACAACAAAAAAACTTAAATGGGTTGCATTTCAATCTTTCGTCAAAATCAGCACGAACTTTCAAGACAATCCAACATTATTACTATTTTATTTCTTATATAAATCTACGTAATTCCTAATACCAATAAAAGGGGATGAAAGAAACAAAAAAATAAGAAAAAAAGAAACTAGGACAATATTAAAATAACTTTTACATGCAGTACTTTGCAACAAAAAGAATTGCAAATGCAAAATGTGATATTATATTGAACTGCACATCCGAGGAGAAGCCGTCTAGTACGAAGTAGAAAAAAATTCATATCCAAAAGTAACTAGAGAAAAAGAAGGCGTGACGAAGGGAGAAAGAGAGAGAGAGGTGGTGGAAGGGTGGGAAAAAAAATTTTTTCTATAAAAATGCGCGTCTCTGCATGCGTAATCCGGATCAGGCTTAGCACCGTGCGAATGGACGAACGCCGTCGATGGAAATGGTTGTGAAAAGGCAAAGAATGGACATAGTGAAGATATCGATAGTCAAAAAAGGGACTATTCCTTTATATAAAGTGACTATTTGCCGGATTATCAATGGGATTTTTTTTCGGATTTACGTATTATATACACGCCATATTTTTTGTTTTTACTTTTTTTTTTTTTTAAATCAAAAGTTAAATTCTGACTAATACGGTTAAAATAATTGTTCTTATTATAATTAATAAAATAATTTAAAGAGAGTCATTCTCGAATGTTGTCATTTGAAATGATCAAAACACGTGTTTCGTTTGATATTTTCATGACAAGTTTATTCGTTTGGAACGGATTTTGAAAAATCTGATGTTCTCTTTTTCTCTTTTTTCTTTTTTTTTTTTTTTAACATTAATTTTTCCATCATTTGTTCGCTGATCATCTACACATTTAATCGATCGTTTATATATAAAACTAAACATATTGTTTTTTTTTTTTTAATTATTTTATTATTATATTATATTATTATATATTTTTTTTTGTTTGTTTTTTTTGTTTTTTGTTATACGTTATTTTATTATAAATGCGAAACATCTCTTTTTGATATCTCTACGCGAATTATTAAAAAGAGGACTTTGCGTTTTTGACAGAATAATAGTTCTTTGCTTTTTGCACAATTGACAATGAAAATGTAATGTTAAAATTTTAATGACTTAATATTAATTATATATATTATATATATATATATATTTTTTTTTAATTTAACATCAAATTTAAACGAAGGCCATTAAGAAATATGAATTATTTATCGAACATATTTATTACAAAATACTTTTAAGTGTGATATATATATATATATATATATCTATATATATTTTGTTGTCATTTTTCTTTTAATATATGCGGCATATTTTTCGGTATACAATTTAGAAGATAAAAGCTTATTATACACGCAATTAATCACTTATTATGGAAGAACAATGTTTGGAAAAGTTTCGTTTAGAAAAATGTGTCAGATTATAAATTCGCAAATTAAATTGCCTCCTAATTTTATCAGATGTTTCTCTAAGATTTTATCGAATGTATTTTTCATCACTTAAAATAAATTCAAAAGAAAAAAAAACTCTTATACAATTATATTAATAACTTTCACGAGAATTATCTTATATAGAAATGTAAAAAATTAATTACAAAAAAGTTGTTCCTTTTTTTTTTTTTTATACATATTATAAGCATAGAAGCTTTTTTTTTTTTTTTTTTTAGTTTTGTCGTTCAATTTTTGTTATCATCGACAATGGTTCCATCATATGGCTACAAAAATAAGGTACATTCATCGACTTTTTTTTTTTTACTTTTAACGTGTTCACATACAAAACGTACTTCTTACGAGATCATATCGTTTGTTTGTTTGTTTTGTCTTTCTTGTTTTGTTATTTCTTTCGAGGAGATGTTCAAATAATTATTATTTTCATAAGTGAAAAATTTAACATCACAAGAGATCATAGTAGTGATGGCTTGAGAGATTTACTGTTACTACTACAGTTTAGGCATTCTCGCTAGCCAGTCTCTTTTTGTTCTGAAAAAATAAAGGACAATGTAATTTGTTTTCATTTTTAATCGATAAATTAGAAAACAAATTATTAATTAAATTATTTCTTCTTACACTTTGTTTGGACGATTTAACATCTACGCTGGACGTACGAGTTTTGGACCTTTCTTGTTCCAGTTGCGCATGCAAGGATGCTACCTCCGAAGTTAACTCGTCACGAATTTCTTGTAACTTTGCAACTTCTGCTAACACAGACGCCTTATCCTTCACTGTAAATGATCGAATAAATCAAAATAATATTTCATTGTAAAATAATTTGGTACTTACGTATTAACGACACCGCAACAAAATTCTGCTAATGCGTCAATCGACAACTTAAATTGTTGCGACAAATCATAGAATAAAAAATTTTATTTAAAATTCAAAACATTTTATTTATAAAAAGTAGTCAATCGGATTTTGGTAGAAAATGGACCGATATAGAATTTAACATAGAGATTCAAAACAGTCTCTATTTTCTTTCACCTGATGCTGTCGTCATAACCCTGACGAAACCCTGACGAAACCCTGACGGTTACTGTGTGCAAACAACAAGGTTGTTATGTGCGAACAAGATTGCTCTTTATTGGCGCATTAGCGGAATTTTTGCTGCGGTGGCGTTAATACGTAAGTACCAATAATTTACAGAAATATAAAATACTATCAAACTTACTTTCACCATGTGAAAGAATTTGATAAAGTTTCGTGTTTCTTTCTTTAACTTGTGTTAATTCTTCCTTAAGTGTATCAACATCTTGTCTAAGTTGAATAATTATTTTATCCCTATTCTCAACTTCCACTCTTAATTGCGCCGATGTAATATCATCGTCTATTTTGTTTAATCTTGCTTTCAATATGTCTTTCTCTTTTCCTTTGATAATTTCTTCTTTAGCTTCTTTGTCAACCCTTTCGAAGAATTCAGCATCCAATTCTGCAGCAATGATTAATTCCATGACCTGTTTTGCTCAAATCACATTGATCACATTTTGCTTAAGATAATTGTATCAGTGTTTGAAGTATTATACCTTTAGATTTGTTTTCTTCCACTTCAGTTGTTACAACTGGAACTTGAGTGTTGTTCGCTCTCATGTTGTTGAATTCCTCCAATGACATGGTAGCCTTCTTCGTCCTTTTACCACCTTTCTTACATTGATCCTGTTCCTTCTCAGTTTTAGCAGCATTTACTAATTGTTCTTCGTAATCTAATTTTGATAACAAGATGGCTTGATGCAGATCTTGCTCAAATGATTCCTCGACAGCCTTAAGGAAATCACAATTGGACGTGATAACACACAAGACTTATAAATACACGACTACTGAAACAAAATCTTTGATTCAATGCTACAACTTAACGGGTGACACTTTTTTTTTTTTTTTACTAAAAAATGTTTTTTTTTTTTTTTAACAATTTATAGTTAACACCTTTTCCAACGATGTTCCATTAACGCATACACAACAGTCAAATTAAACTATTGCATCGCAGTTGCATTAGAATTGGATTAGAAGCTGAGATTTATGTCGAGACTATTTCACAAATTAATTTTAAATAACATATATATATATATACATGTGTTTTTACTTTAATTACCATAGAATCTTTTTGCTTCCACTGCTCCCATTGTTGTTCCTCGTTAGTTGACTTTTTCTTTTTTCCCTGGAAAATTTAAACAAAAAATTATAACAATGATTTATTTGTAAATAAAAAAAAAAAAATTAAAAACAAATATTTTTCTCATACATAACTGTTACAATATTGCAAATTATTCGAATAAACAAATACTTCAAAATTGTAAATCATGAAATAAAAAAACTGCGCTTAAATTTCATCTACTACGTTAATCATAAATGACGTGACAAAAAAAAATTAAAACATAAAAAACTATAACTCGACTAATCGATTAGAAAAAAAAAATAAGTTGATAACAAAAATAAAAACAAAGATTTGGACAGGCGATTTTTTACCTTGCTTTGCTTTTTCTTGTCATCTTTCTTCTGCTGTTGTTGTTGTTGATGTTGTTGTTGTTGTTGATGATGGTGTTGTTGTTGCTTAGACTTGTCACCTTTACCCTTTTGATTAGTTTTACCTGACGACGTATTCTTCTGTGGCTTCTTTGGTTTATAATCGTCATCTTCAATACTGAGAACCGCAAATCGCGACGGCACGGCGGTCGCCATTTTTATAATTTACGAATTCACGCAGTCAAACGAGAGAATGAATCAAAAGAGGGGAAAAAGAAAGAAAGAGAAAGAGATAAAAATAAAAATATATGTATATATATATATATAACTTCCGGTATCTTATAAATTATAATTATGATACTTAACAAATTAACTTAATATCTCTTATAACGCACACAATTGTATTTGAATAATCCTTTAATCGTTATTAAAACACAATTCGTTCAACCTTCAATTATATTTATCGGCTAATGGTCGAGAAAAAAAAAGCTACGTTCGATCGCAACGTACGACTACTACGCAAACCGGAAGCCGGCAGTAATGTCGACGTAATAAATCTAGCGCCTCTGGTGGTACAAATATCGAACTATTATTTACCCGCCCGGCGACACAGTACTGACAACTTAATAATTAATATTTAATCTTATCTATAAATTTTAGTTGAATTATTATTTATTAATTTGTTTTATTTCCATAAAGTATTTTATTTCAAATATTCATTAATAAATGAACATTTATCGAACTGTTTTTTAAAATTATTCAACTTATCGATGAAAATCTTGTATCGATACTTTCAGAATTTAATTATATTTTGCTTATCATCGTACAGTTTATAAAAGAGATTTCGTTAATTTGTAAAATATAAAATACGTTATTATATTATTTGTGAAGTGTAATTAAAAAATATATGAATTATTTTTATATCGTTAACTTACGATTGTATTTTTACGTGGAAAATTATAATCCCTATGATCGGTAATCGTAAATAAATGTGTACGAGGATCTTGTAACGTAAAGAAAATCAAATAAAATAAATCAAAAAAAGATCTAATATACAAATACACACGTAAGTTTTATTATAAAATCTAATAATAAGATATATAATACAGAAAGTATTAAAAAACAATTTTATTTCTAAAATTTATTTAAAATAATATTTTTCAGCTCTATACAACGATATAAATAAATATGTGATAAGGTTGTTAAAATCTTGTGCAAAACAATGAAAGAAAACAGTGTAGTAAAATGAAAATGAAAGACGAATAATCGAAATAATCTTACAATTGACAGTAATCGATTTAAAATCATTTTTAATGAATAATATTTATTTCATAGATTGGTGGACAAGGTATAAAGGTTGGTACGCCTGAGTGCGCGCTGCTTTATCGAGAAATCGAGCAACAAGAGAGAAGGAAGTATCCATCTACACAAGCATATCGTTTAGCGTATATGAGAGAGGCCCCGTTGCACGACGGGTAAAACGAACATGTACGTACGTCGTAGGATAAACGTAAAGCATTAAGCGTGTGTTTTTTCTCGTGTTATCGGACATTAACGTAATCGTATATACTATCATTTAAATTGCCGTGTGTTCGTCCAAAGAACGAATTTTAAGTGTTGTTAATAAGTTTATTTGTTTGAAGGAAAAATAATTAAACAGTCAGTTAAAGGTAGACGACTCAGAGTGTCCGCGAACTTCCTCACCTCCTCTCTTGATCCTCCTGTCGCTGCTGGTTCTTCTTCTTGTTCTGTTGGTTGTGGTGGTGGTGGTGCTGGTGTATTGCTGATGTGTTGTCGTCGTTGCTGCCGCTACTGTTCCCTTTGGTGTATGTAGTGGTGTATGTAAAATATTTGCTGCGACGGTGAGAAGAGAGAGCACAGAGAGATACCAGAGAGAACGACGAACGCGAATGAAAGAGTAAGAGAGAGAGAGAGAGAGAGAGAAAGGGAGAAAGAGAGAGAGAGAGTGAGAAAGAGAAAGAGTGAGGACAACGAAGAGGCGAGGCGCCAAAAGAACATTTATATTTATTTCGTTTCATTCCTTTTATTCTTTATATATTACTTTTATTCTTATTATTATTTTCTTCTTGGTGACTTCCAAATAAGCCTAATTCCAACGGAATCAAGATATATGTGTGTTCTTTAATAAAATAGGTAAATCTCAAGCAGTCGAAGATCAAGCCGATATTAAGATCATATTTGAGAAACATATAGTGTTAACCATCTGCCGCATAACAAAGATATTATTTATCTACGATCGAAGTAATATTAGGAATTTTACTGGGCTAAAATGCCCGACGTGAATTCTACTGCTGGCGAGAACCTCGACATTTTTCAACGAACCATCATCTACGATAAGGTGGTGCGCGGCCAGGGGAACGACGCTCCATCCTGCTTTCCCGCGAATATATCGTCGTCGTCGTCGTCGTCGTCATCGTCATCGTCATCGTCGTCGTCGTCCTCGTCATCGACGATCACCACATTAGATCTATCGTCTTATCTAACAGACTATCAATTTTAAAAACTTCTTTCTTTCTTACTTACTTACTTTCTTTCTTTCTTTCTTTCTTTCTTTTCTATTATTTTTTGTTCTTTTCTTTATTTCTCCTCCTCCCTCAACGATATTTTAATCAAGAGAAAACATTTGATCAATGGTCTTTTGCCAACATCTTTTAAATCTCTGAAAGAGAGAGAGAGAGCATGTTGCTGTCAGATATTTTAGAAAGAAGGTTCAAAGAGAGACGTTCTACTTACAATTTCAACGACGCTAAGAACATGTTAATCGGACTACTCTAAGTGCTTGTGTGATACAAAACCTTTCAACGAGCTAATATAACTTTGTCGTTTTAATCTAAGTTCATACGTTTAGAATAGATTGCAAGTTTGAATTCTTAATTTTGTTCTATCGATAACGACAATCTAGTATGGAATTACTAATGTGAACAAATAATTATTGTACTTTGATTTATTTCATTGTATTCTGTTTATTGTTTATCATAATTTGTTAAGAGAAGAGCGTTTAATATATCAATTGTAATGCCAAAAGACATTTAAAATATCTATACAAAGATTATACAATTTGGATCGTTATAGAATATATTAAGTTTGCTTAATCCTTATTATTATTATTATAAATGCTCTTTTAATCATAGTTCTGAAAACAGTTCTATGATATTTATTCATCGAGTCAATGTTGATTTTATAAAGAAATCTATCCACCTATCGTGCTAAGATGTGCGAGCAGACGGAAATAAATTATTTGGATGGCGATGTCGTTTGGGTGAAGTTGGGAGGATGTTGGTGGCCAGGACAAGTCACTGGTTTTCATAATTTACCTGAAGATATTCAACGTGAATTTCAAAAGAAACCATTGATCGCTGTTGTCAAGTTCTTTCAAGAAGACACATAGTAAGTTGCTTAATTAATATTATTATTTTAATATTACTAATTTTTTATTAATATTTTATTTATTTTCCAGCGAATATGTCAAAAATTATCAACAAATTTATAAATATAATTGTACGCTCAAAGATGAATTCATAAAGAAAGGTTTGGGTATGTAAAAAGTTCAATTAAATATTTTATATTTATATAACGTTATACTTATTTGAATATTTTTACAGATAAATATAGAAGTAAGATCAAAGATGGTTCTAGTTACATGTCCAAATTTCCTGGAGATGTTGAAATGGCAGAGAAATTAACCGGTGGTGATCCGGATATATTGAGTAGCAATAAATTTAGTCCAGAAGAAAAGCCAGATATATCTGCGTTATTTGGAGATAAAAAAGTACCGAAGAAAAGGAAAGATCGAGATGATATGCATAGAAGAAGTGATGCTGGTGAAAGTTTACGAAAAATTACACATCCCCGATTTTTAAAGGAAAGCGATCACGAAGTTCGTATTCGACAGCAACCAAGTAGTCTACCGAGTACACCAAATATTTTATCTTCTCCACAATATCCTTGTCATTTGTGCAATTTTATTTCTACTCGGGTAAACGTTATCATTTGTCACATCAAAAGTCACAGATCTGGTAATTCGTCAGCATCAAAATCAAGAGTTAAAACTTATTCTCAATCGAAAAGTAAAGATATTTCTGAAACGCCTAAAAGAAAATATGTTAAGAAAGAAAAGAATCAACATAAAAGTAATAAAGCCGAAAGTCCAATAGATTTTGGAAAAAGAAAATCGATTAGTAAACAGAGTGAAAAATCTCCGAAAAAGAAGAAAACTGATCCAGAACTTCGGGAAAAATTATTGGCAGATTGGGACGATGAATCTGACGAAGAAACGAGTTTTGATCAAACTAAATCATTTAATACTGGTACAAGCAGACCATCACCTACGAGAGATCAATCGTTCATGGATGTTACCGAAGAACATAATAAAGATGTATCAGCTTCTGAGGTATCAAATCCTCATGAAATTTTAGAAGAAACTGAAAAATTACTTCGGGAAACAGAAAAATTTGCATCTATTCAAATAGATTCAGACACATTGGCCAGCATTGTGCATAAAGTTGAATCAAATGTAGAAGAAAAAGAACCATTATCTCCAAACCTTGGTAAAAATGATTCAACAAATAAGTTCGATAAAGAAAAAGAAGTATCAAAGTCAGAGGTGGATAATAAACATTCAAAATCCGATAAAGATGACAAGAAATCTCGATTATCTTGTTTTGATTTTGACGAAGATGACGTGCCCGAGCCGTCTATACCACCTGTAAGAAAAATCCCCAGAGTTTTTGGAGAAAAGAATTTATCATTGAAGAAAGAAATGATTAAAGAATTTGAAATGAGTCAAGCATTGAAAACTGAGAAAGAAGTGGAAAATGATAAAAATTTAGTTACAACGGAACAGGAAGTATCTAAAAAGATAAACAAAACGGAAGAAATCACATCAAAAAGTAATTTAGAAGTGGAAGATATCGATAAAGTCGATGACAGTAATAAAAGTTTAGATACAAACGATGAAACTACCAATAAGTTGACCGAAAGTGAAGATAAGAGTGAAAGAAAAACCGAATTAATTTTGGAAGATAATGAGAAACGAATGTCTAGTAATAATAGCGAAACTAAATTAGAAATAGTTGAAATTCTTGAAGTTGAGAAGGAAGAAACTGAAAACACTCAATCTACAAATATTAAAATTGATAAGGAATCAGAGTCTAAAACTGTAACAGATAAAAATGATTCTGACAAACCTTCAACGGATAAAGAAACATGCGTGGAAGAGAAGTCTGAGATTAGCAAGACACCACCTGTTACGAATAACGTTGTAGAAAAAGTTGGAATAAGTCATGATAATACTGTTACAAAACAAACAGATGACACATTGTCAGATCCATTTACGACAGAGACAGAAGATGAAACTGTATCTGAATCAGCAGAGACTTTACCTGAACAAAGCGAAAGCTCTGACGTTGACATGATCGAAGTGCCTAAATCTGAGAAGGATAATATTTTATTACACAATCCAAAAGGAAAATTAACTTCCAAGATTAAAAGAAGAAGAGGGAGGCCTCGAAAAAGTTTGGAATCTTTAGATACTTCTGTTGATGGCAGTGAAAAAACATCTAAAGATAATAGAAGTAGAACGTCAGAATCTGATACTGATCGTTCGTATATTGGTAGAAAGAGAAGACCGAGTAAAAAATATTTAGATTCGGATGAATCTACGCAAGATGAGAAGAGTATTTTCAAAACTGATGATAGTCAATCAGAGGGAGATGAAAGATTTCATGAAAAAATAAAAGTCAAACCTAGAAAGGGAAGAAAATTGTCGGGACAATTAAAAAAGGATACTAATGCAATAAAACAAATGGGAGAATTGGAACTATCTGAAGAAATGATGGAAATTTCAGAAGATAATTCTAATAAAACAACTAACATTAGTCCAAAGCATGATTCTCCTGATCGAAATGAGATCACAAGTGAATCACAAATATCTTCGGAGGTTGAAAAGAAAGCTTTGGATGATGAAATAACTAGCAGTTCTTCTCAGAAACCGTCACTTGAATGTACAAATATGGAAATTAACGTGGAGAAATCAGATATGACTACTCTTTTGTCAGAGAGTATAACATTACCACCCAAAGATGTTACAGTTGAACCACTAAAAGAAGAAACTGAATTATTACAAGTTATAAATCAGGAAAAGGAAACAGATCTTGTATTAGAAAAAACCTGTGATGTTAAGGAATTATTAAAAAATGAAGATGAAGATGTTTTGAAAGTAGATAAACCTGATGAAACATCTAATAATTCCGATACACAAAAACAATCGTCAGATGTTTCAAAAACTGCTATCGATATGTTACCACCAAAAAAATCTCAAATAAAAAAATTTGAGTTATCTCAACTTGATATTCCTTCTGAAAGCACAACCACAAATCAAGAAACTGAATCTCAAGAAGAAGAAAATAAACTTATTGATACTGAAGAGAATAAAACAAATTTGAAGACAACTGACTTAGAAACTAAAACTATTGAAGTTTCATTGGAAAATATTGAAAAGACAGAAAGTAAAACTTCGACTGATGTAAATGTCGAGGTTGAAATGAAAGAAAGTATGGAAATTTCAATTACAGAAGATAAAAATGTGCAACAAACTGATACGGTTGTTTCAGAAAATATTCCAAAAACTGATGAGAAATTAGAAACGAAAAAGGCTGCCCCGGAAAAAGAAGGGGAAGATGTTTGTATGGAAAGTACGGAGTCAATGTCAAAGGATATCGAAAAGACCACAATAAGTGATCCACAAACATTGCAAAAATCAATACCAACTAGGTATAAGGGAAAAGCAATATTAGAAACAACAGGTGTAAAATCGAAAAAAGAAAAAGATACATTTTTGGAAGAGAAACCGGTAAATACATTTCAAGAAGCTTTTTTAAAGACATTACAGATAGACAAGAAAAAAGCTGCTTCAGAAGATAATGAATTAATTACTAGCAAAGGAAAAAAGGGCAAGAAGTCAACAGTCAAACTAAACAGCGAAGAAATCAATAATATAAATACAGTAATATTTGGTATACAACAAGAAGTCAAAGTTGGAAATGTAGAAGAAAACAAAAATATGTCAGAAAATGTCTCTGGTATACAAAGTCAAGATAATCTTTCTGATATTTCTATTATGAGTGGGTTTCATGGAGTTGAAGTAGTAGTACAAGAGAATATTGAAACTGATGCAAAAGCCAATGAACCCGTTTTGCATAATACTAGTCAAACTCCATCTTCATCCCGTGATTTCAATCTGATAACACAAACTCAACCACAAATAATAGAAGATACTACAAAATCTACAAACGTAGACTTTCCAAAGGTTGAGGAACCACTAAAAGTAGAAGTTCCTACTCCTTCACCGACTTCCGAAGTTGGTATACCAGTAAAAAAGCGTGAAATGCCAAGGATCATTGAAAATGTAACATTGACAGAGCCAATGCAAATTTTAAAATCTAAACTATTAGATAAATTACCTCAAAAAGGAATAAAACATAAATTGGATATGGATGGAAAAAGTCCTAAGGGAAGTCCTAAAACAAAAATAATGAAAATCGAATCATTACCTTCTAACAGTAAAATGAAAACTGGATTAAAGGTAAATTCTCCAAATCTTTCGTTGACGCAAAAACTTCAGGTATTAAAAGCGGAAGAAAATGAAAGTGCAGTTATTGAAAAAGGAAATGTACAAACAGCAACTTCATCAGGAAGTGCAAAATTCATACAACAAAGTTCACAAAGTTTGGCTGATATGGATTTGGATATTAATTCAATGCCATTCGTTTTAAGCGAAGATGTATTAACGCCAGAATGCATAGAACAAATGCCTGTTGTAATATCATCAATTATACCAGCATCTAGTTCAGTATCACATACGTTAGCTCTTACTCCTACCACTCAGGTTGTAACACCTAACCAAATGCAAATTAAATCTGTAAGCGAGAGTACTTCTGAAGGATCTCCTACAAAAAAGAAAAGTGGTACACCAGCAATTTTGAAAAATAAATACAGAACAAAACCTATAATTACGAATATAAGAACAATTGTACCACCTCTAACAGGAGGTGTAAAAGGATTGAAATTTCAAAACACACCAGCTGGAAAAACGTCACCTGTTGTGGCACAAAAAGCAACACCTGGGAAATACGTAGTAGTACATGCATCCGGAGGTCAACAGTTACGTTATAGCGTACAGGGAAAATCTGGAACGCAACAAAAAATTGCTGTATCTACTGGAAAAGGTACAGGAAATTCCCAAGGTGTAGTACAAGGTGGGAAAGTTGTTATATTTACATCAGCACAATCTGGTCAAACAAAGATGATACCATTAAATATATCAAAAACTTTAAGTGGTAAAAGAATGGTGACAAACAAAGGACAACTTTTGTGTCCAATCAGTCCACAAAATATTGTTAGTTCAAAGACTATTATTGCTCCCAAGGGAGACAATAATTCACCAACAACGTCTAAACTTGGTCCAAAAATTATAAATACACCAAGTATTATTACTTCCAAAGGAGTATTGACACCTTTGTCGGCAACTCTGACAAAAACTGCATTATTAGGGACCTTGTCGCAAGGTATTTTAACAAAAGGTGGAATATATACTCCCATAAGTGCTTCTGCTTTAGGAAATAGAATTATTAATTCTAAAGCATTAGTTACAAAAGGTGCTACTATATTATCTTCTCAAAATATAGGTGGAACAAAAGCTATTTTGACACCAATATCTCAAGCCATTGGAGGGAAACCTATTCTTGGAGCAAATATTGTTACATCTAAAGGTACAGTTCTTACTCCAGTTACAGGACAACAGGTTAAAGCAATAGTGGCTAAGAGTCCATCGAAAAGCAGCAAAGTGCAATATCAATCGGTGCAACAAAAAATACAATTGTCGTCTACTGCACAAAAAAGTCCAAAAGTTCAGATGACTCCTTCGTCACAAAGTAGAAGTTCATCATCAAAATCATCAAGTAGTACTATGGTATACCAAAGTACTGGATCAAGTTCCAAATCTGCTTCGCAGAGTAAAAAAATGAATAAACAAATAGCTGCTCTTCAACAGAGTGCTACTTCTATGCAGAATCTTTCGAGTCAAGGTAATACACAACAAACGGTTATGTCACAAGTTCAACAGAAAGGAAAATCTGCATCTTCTTCAAGCGTTCAAAAAGTTATTATACCTCGAAGCCGTCAATCTAGAAATCAACAAAAAATTCTTGTTCAAAAAGTGCAAGAAACAAACACTGGGCAAAATATTCAATCGAAACAAAACGTTTTAAGTACTCACACTACATTACCTAATATTTCTAAGACAATAACTCAACATAAATATACAAGTACAAATACAATGACTACTTCTAAGGGTGTCACCAAGAGTCAAACATCAAATAAACCTTCTCAGAAGAATTTATTAAATATTGCAATAAATTCGGTGACTGGTACAACTGTAAACACTAATTTGACTGGATCATTATCATCTCTACCAGCTTTAGAAGCTATTGAGCCAGAGAAAAAATTGAAATTGGATAATACAATGATTGACAATGTACCAAAGGAACAATTAAAAGTAGAGAAAATTCATACAGAAAAAAGTACAGAAATGGAAAAGATAGAAGAACCAAAGGTGACTACTCAGCCACAGATCATGGCTTTACCAACCGAAAGTAGTGACGGTACTCAAACATATGTTCTGGTAACTATAGATGAACAAGGTCAAATACATCCATTAGATAATAATACATTAATGTCTCTTGAGGGAACAACTCAAAATCCAGATGGAACAAGAACTTTATATATAGATCCTAGTTCTTTAGGTGAGGCTGGAACATTAGATAATATTGTTCTTCAATTTGACAATGGAGTACTTCCAAATGTATCAACTAATACTAATGAAACAACCCAAACAATAATGACAGAAAGTTTCCCTACATCAGAAATTATTCAAACATCAAATCAAGATATCTTGGCAGCAGCTTTAGCTAACACAGATTTTCAACAAGAAATTAATCTACCTGAAAATCCAGCAGGAAGCGTAATGACCACTGGATTGACTCAGACTAGTTTAATTAATCAAACAATTCTACAATCAACTATTATACCACCAACAGAGCCAATATCTTCTCCATCTGTATTAGAAACATCCTTGACTTTGAATCAACCGATTATGACACCGCTTGAAGTTCCAAGCAATCTTCCAATTCAATCAGAATCTACTAGTTCAGTAGTTTCAACGATACCATCTTCTTTAGAATTGCCAATCACCATTACAAATCCTAATATTTCATATATATCTACAGGAGAAACACAAATTCAAATTCCTGGTAATTCGATGCCAGATATTGGAGAAATCATGGATACGTCAGCTTCAACTGAAATACCAAGAACAGACATTCCCACTAGCACACAATATTTAGTAATACCTAATTTAGATGAAAACATAACTGTTACAACCCAAGAGACTGCAAGTCGTACTAATGTTTCTTATTCAGTTTCATTACCATGCAATATTGTATTAGAAACTACACCAGTTCAAACAACTCCATCAATGCCTATAATAGATGACACATATTCAGATAATACTCAATTTTCAACATCCGTTCAAACTGCAATTGTTACACAACACAATTTTGCCGATGTACCAGTATCTGAAATGTTAGTTTCTAAAGCTTCCATCACATCTCCAGTAAATGTACAAATGTCAGATGTTACAGTTACACCAGAAATAAATGTGATTTCCCAAGAAGTTCCTATACCTTCTCAAAACTCATCTACTTCGACAAGTGAAACTTGCGTTTTGAAAAAATCAGAGGATACAACGATGCCTTTGGAAGAAATTTATCCAACTCCAGAAATTCCTGTTTCATCGCAAGAATTACTTTTGCAACAAAATATTAAAAAAGATGTAACATGTGACATAGCAGCTACTACAGAAGAAAAAATACCTAGTAACGAAAATATACTAAATATGCAATTAGTTGATCAAGCTGTAAATTCCATGACCAGTAGTATGCCTATTTTAGACAACAATTCTTTAATACAATCACAATCTAATGTTAAAGTACAATCTGTAGAACATATGGCATTTGAAGTTACAGATTCAGGTGATATGGAAACTTCCTCTTCTCAAGAACCGAATACTGAGGATAAATTTAATCAATTTTCTTACAAGGAAGATTCTAATGTTAAAGTTGCTTCCCCAACGCTCGTAGAACAAACTACTACGACAAATCCAACGGAAACAATACAGGAAGTATTGCAAGGTATGTCCTCAGCACAATCATTAAATAATACTAATGCAGAAGATAACAAAACAGAGGAACCTGTTGACTCAGAAATATATGACTCCACGGTAAAACCATTGGAAGATTGTCAAGCAGATGAACCATCGTCGCAAGATGAAACAGATGGTAATCAAGTTCAAAGAAATATTCAGCTACATTTTGAAAAAATGAAAATAGAAAAAATAGAAAGCAATCAAGAAACGCCTTCACAATCTTTTGAACAATTTGATATATCGATGACGAATGATCCAGCAGATTTACCAAGTCAATCAGTTTCTAAACTTGAAAATGCTGGTGAACCATCACAGTCTGTAACATATGAACCGATGGAGACAGATGAAGAAACAATTGCTGGAGAACCACCGACTCAATCGTTCGAACATTTAAAGCAAAATGAAGCTTCTCAGTCTTACGAGACATCTACCGAGGTGAACGTAAACGCACCCACGCAATCTTTCAATGAATTGATGCAAAGCCACGACGGAAGAATCGTTACAAACGAACCAATCGATGATCAAAGTTTTCCGACCCAAAGTTATGAGGTTGGCAAGGTAGAAAATATACAAGATAATTTAGAAACAGATGCTGAAATTAGCCAAGAAGGAAACATACCATCCCAATCAAATGATATTGGGAATGATGGTATTGGCACATCATCGGTTTCTACAAATAACTCTGGCTTAAATGAAGATGAAACAGCCAGTTCATCTTATGTTCCAGAAACTCCAGAAAATCAAGAAAGAGATCAGGATCAAGAAAGTGCAATAAGTACATCATCATATGAGATCCCACCTTGCGAGGAATTGAACATAGCTTCATCCAGTACGATACCAGATACATCAGTTAGAGCAGAACATACGAGTATCCATGACAATGGAGTACCTGAAATACCAACATCTTCATATAATCTAAATCCAGATATAACTTCCACTCATATTGATTCTGTACCCTCATCCAGTTATGAGGATCAAGTTATAGTAGAACAAAATGTATCAACTTCTTACGAGGTTCCAGTATCGATGCCTGGCCTAGAAGAAACATCCTCACAAAATTTTGTTACCGAAAGTACAGATCATAGAAACGAACCATCCAGCTATTATACACATCATCAAGAAGTAACAGCTAGCTATTATGAATCTGTTGATCAAGATGGAAACTCCAGATTGGAAGAAGATCCACAAGAGGAGGTAACTCCTAGTTATTACGAAGGTAATTCACAAGTAGCAAGTCAAAGTTACTTTACACCACAGGAAGCAACACCAAGTTATTCCAGTAGAAATGTTTCTTCTGGTTATTATGGTCACAGACCAGAAAGTGAAGCAAGTCAAAGTTATTATTCAACAGATGATTTAGAAAAAGCTGAACAATCCAGTTCACAGAATATCGAAGCTTCACAAAGTTTTTATCAAGAACATACAGATGAATTACGATTAAGGCAACAAGGAGAAGCTACTCCAACATATTCTGAACGATATCCCGTTGATTATACATTGGACAATTCTCCAATTGAAAGGCATGACCTCGTAGAAAGTTCTGTACCAGCAACTAAGCCTATGGAAAGGTAATACATTGTTACAGATTTTTTTTAATTATTGTAATGGAAAGTTTCTTTTTTTCTAAAATAGACTATTTGGAGTTATAGTTATGGAATTAATAACCACGAGTCTATTTTTAAATGTACATAGAATAATAAGGAAATAAGTGCTTAGATTTAAAAGACTAAATTTTCTTATAATAATTTATATCTATACTTATATCTTATATATAGTATATATACAACAACAAAAATATATATACATACACATATATAATAAGCACGGATGATACTTTAATCCGTTCACTCGATTTGGTACATAAATATTGTAGATCAGGATTAAAAAAAAAAAATGTGAATTTTATTACAGTAAAATATGGTATAAGTAATAAAATAATACCTTGTCACACAAATTGATGTAAAAACGAAAAAAAAAAAAATAATAATCGTTTGTACGATATTCGAATTATATATGAGTTAATTCAATAATATAGAATGGACACTTTATTAATCCACTTTTAATTTTCTCCTTAAATATTATTATGTAACTTGTTAAGTCATTTATGTGAAAAAAAAAAAATATCATAATAATATGTAATATCGTTGAGTAGTAGTAAGATTCACAGATCATTCATTAAAACATAGTATAACTTTATTAGAGTACGCAAACAAAAAATATATATGGGATGTTTTATATTATTCAAAAGTTTCGCATGATGATCTGAGATATAATCGAATCTTATTGAAAAGAGTTAGTAAATATTTTTACATTGTTATATTTCGTGATTGAAAATTATTAAAGGATAAGAAAAAAAGAAAAGAATAAAATAAAATAAAAAAAAAAAAGAAGAAGAAATAAATCTGCAAATTGTAGGATTTTACTGCTACTCTGTGATGTCAACTTATGGTGGGCAATTCTTCGTTTGTACAATTAAAATAAAACTTGTCTGCAGATACATTAAAATAAACTTAGAATAATATTATTAATAATAATAATAATAATAATAATAATAATAATAATAATAATATACCTATATTAATTTTAATTCGCGAAATGTTTAAATCAATAATAAAAGATTTCACATTTTATAAATAGAATCATTGATTTTTCAACTTGTGTTGAAACATAACTGCAGATTTTAGTTTAAAAAGAAATATATTATATATATATATACATATATATACACACGAGTATATATAAAAAAAAAAAAAGAAAAAAAAGAATGGAGCGAACCAAGGATTGTGTATGTTAAGCTTAATGTTTAATTCATAAAAAAAAAAAAATAGCTTATAAATATCCATGAAAACAAATAATAAAATAAAAAAAAAGCCTATAATTTCAATTATCACAGCCGCTGTGTAAATCTGTGTGTGTTTAAAATGAAATGTCAAAGAAAAAAAAAAAAAAAAAGAAAATATAATCGTTTAATCAAAAAATCTGTCGTGTTTAAAACGCATTCAAATTTATAATTTTACACATCTTAAATATATTCGATTATTTTTAATCGCAATCAGTTGAATGTGCACAAAAAAAAACAAGAAATAACGGAATTTTTTAACGACATTTAAGAATTAAAAGATTTAAAATATATATTTGTGTATACTAGATATATAGAAAATTTATACGTATAGATTCTATTGTATAATAAATAATTATACAGTAGAAAGGTACATTTATTTGTAAGAAGAAAAAAATATATAAAAAGAAGAAAAAACATATATATATATATATATATATATATATATATCACATATTTGATTTCACTTAAACAAGACAGATTTTGCTAAATTATCCTACTAAGAATTTATTATTATATTCAATATATAATTTTGTGTTATCAAAAAATAAATTTATGATTTTATTTCTCGTGACATTTTTTAATCATCGTCACGCGTGTACATATTATGTTGATATTTGAGAAAAATGAAATTTTCTTATTAAAATAGCTTTCAACAAATATATTATTGGGGTATTTTCTTTATTTTTTGTTTTGTTTTTAGGCACAACTAAAAGCCTATATTGGCAAAGTAATCAACAAAAAAAGAAAAAAAAAAAGAATAAGAAGAAATGGACTGAATTGTTAGAGTTTTCTTATTAACGCCGTGTTTTTTGTTGTTTTGTTTTTTATACCTAGTACATCTCTTATTCGTTTTCATGAATTCATGATTTAAATTAGAAATTGTTTATACTACGAATCATTGTATAATTTAAATATTATATGAGAGAGAGAGAGAGAGAGACACGCGAAAAAGAAAATAATAAAAACATCTTCTAATTGAACTTTCATTGGTTCTATCGTATGTTGGGATATGTGTATTAATAATATGCTAAAAAGTAATTGAATATAAGTGGCATAAAGTGATAATGAATAAAATAGTACTATTGTGCGTTCATGTATATTAATAACAATTTGATATTTTCAACACTAACAATAATATCTTCTTATTTCTACTGTGTGCACCATTCACAATTGTAACTAAGTAAGAGATAAAATAAATATACAAATATTTACATAACAGATTATAACGTATGATTATTATTATAATTATTTTATCCGCAAAAATAAAAAAAAAAATAAAAATAAAAAACAAAAAGAAATATTTTCAATCCTCTCTCATTTCATTGAATTGAATTGAATTACAATTTATTGTTAATATTGAGTAAAAATTATTGTATCGTTTAAACTATTATATGCCAAATGTTTTAAAATTAGGATTATATTAACATAATTCAATATTATTATCAAATCTTTATTACTTAAAATAATCCCAAAATACAATAAATTATATTGTTTATAGACATACGGTCATTTATGTACAACAGATTAATATTTGCAAATTTTTATAAAGGGATACAGTCTTTATAATCTTATTCAAAATGATTTTTATCTTTTCATTCATTTTATTTTCGCCAATATTGAGCAAATTTATGTAATTGTTCCACTAACGCGGCCATTACTGCTGTAACAGACAAATCTAAGAGATTTTGAACATAATGAACTGCTTCTTCGTCACTCAAATCCAATCGTAATTTGTCTTGAACTTTTTTTACTGCTTTATCCGGTTCTAAAGCTATATCTGGTACACTAGCATCAACCATTAATGAAAACAAATTTAATATTAAATTAGCATGTCTGCGCAAATGGAGGAATGCTGTGTAACATTGCTTTCTAAATTCATGATAGTGTTCAGATGTTACACCACCCATAGCTTCAACCATTTCCTTACTAAGTTTCATTGGTGGTGGTAAAGGTTTAGGATCTCTGCCCAAAATATATCCAAAATCTATATGAAAAAGTTTGCCTATAAAATACATAAAATAAATTAGTAAAAATAACCATAAGTAATATCAGACATATATAGCATAAAACAATTAAATATACCTGACGTCGTTAAAAGTAAATTATCTAAGTGTCGATCACCAACTCCTAATACGTATGTAATTATGCAATAACCAGCTAAAATTTGATAACATTATAAAAATATTTACAAAATTCATTATTCTGTATAATTAAATCTTGAAATTGTTTTTTACCCACCACAACTTCGAACATATGTATCCATAACTTCAGGTGCAACACCGTAAGGTCCTGTATCAGAAGGATGGTGTTTTCTGAAGAAACTTAGTATTGAACCCTCGCTTGCGAGAACTTCAGCTACAGTTACGGATTCGATAAATTGTAAGAAACCATGTCTTGTACTTGTAGCAAGTACTCTGAAAACAATTTAACACAATTATTCTCTTGTTTATTTTTTAATTGATAATAACTGATAATTCGTCACCTGTATGGTGTCAATTTTAAGTCTAAATTTTCTCTCCTTAATAATTTATCCATAAGGGCTATTGTCTGTAGAATCAATTGATCTTGCCTCAAATCATCACCGTGTTTAAAAATGGCAATGTATTCCGTATTTTCGGTTGTTAAAAACGTAAGTTTAGATGGCATAAGAGCAGATTTAAATAAACTTGCTCTGTAAAATAAAACAGATTGATTATCTCATATATAAAATGAATATATGAAAATATATAATTGCATACTTTTCAGGAATAATTCCTTTAATACAAATTTCAGGATCCAAGGGAAAAGGTATTGGCTCGAAATTAGAAAAATGCATTTTATAAGCAGGATCTGGTTCAGCTAATAAAGTTCGTAATCTGTCAGCTTTCTTCTTACGATTGCCACTCTCTCTTGCTACAGCTTTTACAAGAGATACCAATTGATCGATGAACATTTTTTGTCTTAGAAGAAAATCTTTTCTTTTTTGCCAAATAATATTGCCATGTGCTAACATGGTGGTAAACATATCCATTACTGAGATATACATTTCTTTTACACGAGTGTCTTGTTTGGCTGTTATAACTGGATCATTTTGATCTTCACCTTCGATTGATAGATACCAATAAAAATAATTAGCCAGGGTAGAATTTTGACAAGCACGAGTTATCAAAAATGATGCCAAATCCATAAAAGTATCTTGACACGTTGATAGACATTCTGTTGACTCTATTGACTATAAAGGCAAATGTAATATTAGAAAAAGAAAGAATAATTCATTTAATGTGACAGAATACATAATTATTTTGTTTTTGTTTTTTTTTCATTTTAAATACAAAACTTACAGCAGTCATAGGAGTCGACGTTGCATCACCGGGTCTTATATCCCTTTCAAATTTCTCTTTCTCTGTATCATGTAAGAAGGCTTGAAAAGTAATTTTCATACTTTCAAAATCTTCATATTTCAATGCTTGTACTAGTTGTAAGAGATACAACATTAAATCATCATCAGGAGCTTGACTTAGACGTTTGATAGCATATCTTCTTACAGCTGGATGTGTAAAAGCTGGTCCGAGTAATTCCAAAGCATCCTCAGGATCTGGTGGTGCCCAAATAGCTAACATTTCTAATGCTTGACGTTCCTCTCCAGGTACTTTCCAATTAACGCATTTCACAAATTTAGTTAATGCTTTCTTTTGACTTGACAAATAAAATCTGTATTTCCAAATAAGATCCTGTTCTTCTGTAGTTAACGTCGTTGTCGGTGGATAGCCCAATATTGTATTTAATGCATCTCGTACGCTAGATGTTGGTTTTAATTCTCTCGTGTTACCACCACTACGTAAACTGCGAGCTAGTTTATGATGTTTAGCTTCTACAAGGTTTTCCTGAAATAATTAAAATAAAACAAAAAACCTTATTAGAATACTGATAATAAAGATATTACGATTTGAAATAATAATCTTTGGAAATATAGCAGCAAGTATTTATTTCAAGCATATAAATAATCACTGCTTATATTCCAAAATTTGTTTTTTGAATATTTAAATATTTCAAAAATAGAGTATACAATTTTTTCTATGCCAATGATTATCACGATGATAACAAGAACAATAATGAAAATTTAATACCCGTAATTTTATTTTACCTGACATTCACCACTATGACTCGAGTAATAAAAAGAAATATATAATTCAAATAGAATTTGTTTTTTTCTTTGTTCGTTTTTTAGAAAGGGGAAAAATTAATGAATTTTTGTTTTCCTACTTGAAAGAATAAAATATTTGTATTTGTCAGCCTTTTACCATCTTACTTACTTTCTTAATAAGTATGGCTTCAGATTAGATAATTGTCAATACGCATTGACTAATAAAAGTTTTTTTATACTGCATCTTATAAGCCTTCTTCGTAATTATTATTTGCCAACTTGTAAGAAAATCTAAATGAATCATGTCAAGACAGCTCTTTTTACCTCTTTAGTAATTTCATGAATTTTTGTTTCTATTGATTGTGAATTGCACAGGTAAAATAGAAAAAGCGAACTTTCGCTTTTCTGAAACATAAAACGTCCTTAGATTCTTTGACTTTACAAAAGTAATACTCTAAAGAAGGCCTTAAATCGATACAAAAATTGTTTTTGTTTCATCTAAGATAGAAAAGTTAATCTCCATTTATAAATCATACAATTTTTCTTACTTGTAATATTTCATAATCTGGAAGTGTAACAATATCCGGTTGTGATCTGTGTTGTACAACTTCGTCTCCATCTTTTTCATAATACACAATAGAATACTGAAACGATAGGAAAAATTTGGTAAATAAAATGTAATATTTATAAAATAGTTTATATATATTAAATTATGAACAATTTTCATACCGGTATACCATCCATAGTGACTTCTGGAAATTCAATCATTAAGTAAAGATACTCTGACGCCTTTTTCTCTTTTTCATTTATTAATTCAATCTCTCTAAACGTCAATCTATCCAACCAATCGATCTTGTTCATTTGTCCATTCCTATGTTTCTTCGCAAGTTTAGCAAGACGTTGCATTTGTTCTTTTCCATGATCTCTTGATTTTCCAGAAGTACTCGTACAAATACTTCCATCAGCTTCTACGCCAGGCCAAACTCGAAGATCGAGTATTCCTTGACGAAAAACACCATGTTTTCCAAATAAAGATATGGTCGTACCACCAACAGGTATTTGTCTACCAGGTCCAGCACAATCGTATATACTTATACAAAGCTGAGCATCACGTGGCAAATCGGAGAATGATATTGGTAAAGTAACCCATTGATTCCAGCTGTAAAATATCAAAATGAATATTTATTATTACATGAAATATATTAGACAAATAGAAAATATCAATAAATTCATTATTACTTCCAACGTGATGTGAAGTGTTTGTAGGCCGTGTGAACAGGTAAAGCTAATGGTCTACCACCAGCCCATACTTCTAAAGAAGCTGATAAATCACCTTTACCACCACTTGCACTATATAAACCGGAATATTTTAACATCGGATCCAGAAGTAACTTATCATACTCAGGTCGTTGTCTTTTACCTTCCAAGGTACCTCTGTAAAAGAATAATATATATTAATACTATATCAATGTATTGTTAATCCGTTGTAAGAATTAAATGTTTGCAGAAGCAACACATGTCAAATGTATACCAATTTGATATTAGATATTGCTATCATCTTTATTAAGAAACTTAATCCGATTATGCTATTAACATTAACGTCATTATTTTAAATGTATTCCTATTCGAACAGTTAAATACTAGTTGTTATTAGTTACTTCATATAACCAGCTGATACTAATATTTCTATCTTTTATTTAATCTGCTTAGAATAAATACTTACATTTTAATTTGGATTTTGGTATCTAAAGATGAACTGTACACGTAAAAAAACTTATCACTAATATCTTCCATCTTAAATTAATTATAATGTATTAAGAATTTACAAATTTAGTAAAACTCTACTACACATCTCTCTCTCTTTCTTTCTCTTTCTCTCTCTCTCTTTCACTGCATATGCACTTTATTGCACACTAAATACACATCTGTAAATACGAGTAATGCACACTACGAACGGTGATGTCAGAACGTGAAATTTTTTCACGCATGCGCATATCTAATCCTTAGTGACGTATATATTTCACTCAAATATGGGGTATCGTTAGATCCCAATGAAAATTGAAATACGGTAGATTGGGAAGGGCCCCTTATGCGTATCTACTATTGCACATAGATACGTCCATGGAAACAGTCATCGTCGAGCTGTGACGTCAGCATGCGCATGCGCACGAAGGCTCCCACGTGGGAGAAAATACGACATTCAATGTTTGGTTGCTGCGCCATGATGATAATAATTATGGCCTCTATCGGTAACTTTATGTTTTATTTTTACACATTCATTATCCAATAATAATTAAACTAAAAAAAGTTAAAATTAATTATCAATTAAATTGATTGTGACAGAAAGTTAATATAATTATAATTATAATAATCAATATGAAAATACTATTACCATATATTAAATTTATTTAGATATATTTATAAATTCATTTTTCAAAATTAAATTATTTAATTACTTAATTATAAGTATTATTATAGTTTGCATTTTTATATTTTTATAAAAATAATTTTTTATGGTTAGAAAATTTAAAATTATTTTGCATGATCGTACGAAGCGTCATCTGGAGATGAAAGAATCGATATAAAGTTAGTTGTCTGTCTATTTGGACGGTTTTTCATGGTTCCAATTTTGTAAAGCGCGGTCGTAGCATATGCATATGCGTATGCACGTGTTGTTAACTCTAGTTATTTGCAATAGTTTTACGTAAAAATTTACATAAAGCGTATAGAATTTTGTAATATTGTGTTAAAAGTTATAAATTTTGAGGTTATTATTATAAGTCAAAATGAGTACGATCTTGGAAAAAATTGCTTCGATTGAAGCTGAGGTATGTAATTTTTCCTATTCATAGTTCTATTACTTTAAAATTACATATAAAATATATTGTAATGAATAAAAAAAATATATTTTTCCATTTTTAATTTAGATGGCAAGAACTCAGAAGAATAAAGCAACATCCGGTCATTTGGGTTTGTTGAAAGCAAAGTTAGCTAAATTGAGACGTGAACTTATAACACCGAAAGGAGGTGGTGGTGGTGGTGAGCAAGGATTTGAAGTTGCCAAAACTGGAGATGCTCGGATAGGTTTTGTTGGTATGCTTCTCAATAGTCTTATTAACAATTCCTTATACATATACCATATTCTTTATGTCATCATTTTATCTCATTTATTAGAATGTATTAAAATTACAATGGTTAATGAACAAGCCCAGTTTCCAATCTGTAATCATCACAGTGTTACAGTTTTATAATATTAATTCATTTTATTAATTACACAGGTTTTCCTTCTGTTGGTAAATCAACGTTATTGAGTACGTTAGCTGGTGTATACTCCGAAGTTGCAGCGTATGAGTTTACAACTCTAACTACTGTTCCTGGTTGTATAAAATATAAAGGTGCAAAAATACAGGTAATATATGAATAGAAAATTCAAAGCTTACAATGTAAACTAATTAAATATGTATTTATTTTATGTAAATATTGTAATATATATATCATTCTTTTAGTTATTGGATTTACCTGGTATTATCGAAGGTGCTAAAGATGGCAAGGGTCGTGGTAGACAAGTAATAGCTGTAGCTAGAACTTGTAGTTTAATTTTTATTGTCTTAGATGTGCTTAAACCATTGGGACACAAACGTTTGATCGAACACGAATTAGAAGGTTTTGGGTTACGACTTAACAAACAACCACCTAATATTACTTTTAGAAAAAAAGAAAAGGGTGGCATCAATCTCCAAACAACGGTAAAATTAAATTTATATTTTTACTTATATATATATATATATGGTAAATGCTATTTACTATATTATAATGAAAGGTACACAAGAGCGAGTTCACGTAATATGATAAAAAGAAAATCATTTATGTATATACTTACTTATTGATTATTAGTTTGTTCTTATTTCTGTATAATTTGTAACAGAAAGAATAATTGGAAGTTAAAATCATTGACAAAACATAACTGATGTTAAGGATATATAGACAAGTATTTCTATTTTAATATTTAACAATTAACAATTAACTTGATATAATCCTTATGAATATTATAAAGTCACTGTTTAAAAACATCGTTTAACTTATTCTATGTAATTGTTTAACATTAAATATTAAGGGCAGTGGCTTTTTTTTATTTCTTTTTTTTTTTTTTAAATTTACAGATCTTTTAATATTCTCTTGATTTTTATTATAATACGTACTAAAAGTTTTAAAATGAATATGCTTATTTATAATTATTCAAAATTATAACGCGCTGTATAACCTAAGCTTTAGTTATGTTATTATCTTGAGATTATTTATGGAATCATTGTAGTGGAATGAGCCAAGTGTAACCTTTTAACGTTATCACAATAAATTTAACATAATTACCAGACAGGCATTTGACAGAAAGACTAAGGCAGTTGCATTGTTTGCCAGTGCGCACAGTCAGAACTTGATTTAGACACAGTCAAGACCATATTGGCAGAGTACAGAATTCATAATGCTGATATTAATCTACGATACGATGCTACGTCGGACGATTTGATTGATGTCATCGAAGGGAATCGTGTTTACGTACCATGTATTTATTTATTAAACAAAATCGGTAATTATGAAACATATTATCTTATCTTTCTTTATTTATTATAAATGAATAATATTTTTTAGAGGACTAGGATCCTGTAAAAATGTTTCTCCCTTTTTTTTTTTTTTTTCATATTATTCATTTCATTTTGTATTTCTTTTATTAGATCAAATTAGTATAGAAGAATTGGATGTTATTTATAAAATACCACATTGTGTACCTATCTCTGCTCATCACAAATGGAACTTTGATGATTTGTTGGAGAAGATGTGGGATTATTTACAACTCGTTAGAATGTAAGTCTCTCTTTCTGAAATAATGAAAATAATTAAACGATAATTTTGATAATAATTTTGTTCAATTTTGTTAAACAGTTATACCAAACCTAAGGGTCAACTACCAGATTACAATTCTCCTGTAGTATTGAATACGGAAAGAAGAACTGTCGAAGATTTCTGCAATAAACTTCATAGGTCAATAGCAAAGGAATTCAAGTAGTAAGTACCCTTTAAATTTATTTTATATGTAGATTGTTTCAAGATTTTCTAGCTCAAATGGTGTCAGGGTATTCTGTGCATGAAAATAAGAAAAAAAAAAATAAGATTCTATAAAAATAGATCATTTAAATAAATTCTATTTAAAAAAGTTTGATTTTTTAATCATAAATGTTTACATTTAACTCAGCAGGGATTGTCGTTAGATAGGTGTATATATCTAAACGTTTGTAAAATATTCATGAAAATTAATAATTATTAATATTTTAGCGCGTTAGTATGGGGATCTTCGGTAAAACATCAGCCACAAAAAGTGGGAAAGGATCATGTCTTGAGCGACGAGGATGTTGTACAAATAGTAAAAAAAGTGTGATTTTATTTTGTGCTATATATATATATGTGAGTAAATATTAAAAAATTGATTGAAAAAAAAGAAACAAAAGAAAAAGAAGACAGGTAACTCACGTATTATACTTAACAGAGCTTGGTAGTATAATACTCTTTTAAATTTCTCATTTCGTTTTACAAATAAAAAGTTACTAATTTAGATTATGATACTATTTTCTAGTATCTTTCTAATTATAAACAAACAAAAAAGAAATAAAATACAAATATGTACATATAAATACGTATATCTTTCATAATGATAGAATGTATAAGTTGAGATGTGGTAATGTCTAATTAAATAAAAAAAAAAAAAAAAAAAAAAACAAACAAAGACATACACACACAGCAAGGAAAAAAAAATAATAATAATAAAAAAATTTACAAGGGTATCCAGTAATTCGTTAGAATGAAAAAAAAAAAAAATAACAAAAAAGGTAATTCTAATATGCGTGAGATATATATATATATAGGAAAATAACTACCATTTTCTAATGTAACATAATAATTTTTTTTCAATTAATAATTGATATATACTCATAAAGAGATATATATATATATATATACTGCAAAATCTAATAACTTGTAATACGAAATATTACTCACATTGATATGGTAAGATCATTTTTCACATTAAAAATCAACAATTATTGTGAGTTCGATATAAAGACTGCATTTAAAATCAGTTTTAAATTATATTTTTATCTTACATTTATAAAATTGTGGTGAAATAAACAGTGACATTTCATGCTTGTAATGTTATACAGCAATGATAAAAGATCTTATACTGAAATGTATGTATGTATAATATGTATATGTATGTATGGTTTTTTTTTTCTTGTATGAATGTGGTGTATAATTTTTCTTATAGTTTTTTTTTTCCTTTTTATTTTATTTCATTTTTTTATTCTTTTTCTTAAGGGGGGATGGGGGATAATTTTTTTTGCCTTTCTTTTCTTATTTTTTCTTTTCTTTCTATTTTTTTTTTTTTTTTTTTTTTTTTTCTTTAATGTAGACATTAGCCCTGTGTGCACGTGATGATAATAAATTCTACATTAAACGGCGCTGGAAAAATGTATTTTTTTTTTCTTTTTTGTTTTCTCGTAACAAATCCAATCCACTGACATCGTTCGTGTTAATTAATTAATTAATTAATTAATTATTATTATTATTATTATTATTATTATTATTATTATTATTTATTATTTATTATTTTTTTTCTTTACTTGCATCTTAGATAGAGGTTTATTATTATAATAAGGTTTTTTATTTTTTTTTTATTTTTATTTCTCATGCATCGCCTATGAGAATTTTGAATGGAGTTGTGAATTATAACGATGTCCGTTGTGTTCAGTGCTTATACTCGGAAATCGCAGAGACAGAGAGTGTGTAACGACGCATTCACTTTTGTATTTCTATCTTTTTTTCCTTCTTTCCTTTCCTATCTTTTTATTTATATTTTTGTTTTTTTTGTTTGTTATAAAGTTTTTAAAATGTATTCTTTTCGTTGTTGATCCAATAATTGTTCCAAATGTTCGCATTTGGCATTGACTCCTTCGAGTTCCTTAGAAAGATTTTTAATAGTCAAAACTTTTTGTGTTATTATCAATTTAACCCTGGAAAAACATGGATTTTATTTTATATTTTTTTCTTTTTTTTGGGGTGGGGGGGAGGAGGAGGATTTTGTTTAACAAATAATCTAGAATTATATATAACAAAACCGAAAGAAATCTATTACGAGTGTGTGCGTGTATTTATATGTTTTTTTTTTTTTTTAAGAAGTGGTGGTGTATGTATTCGTTATTGCTTGAACAATTTTATCGTGACATTTCGATTTTATTTCTTTGAACGTTCAGTTAATTATTTAGTTAGTTTTCATTTCGATTAAAATTGTAGTAACAAATACCTGCTGTACAATTGTGACATTAACATATCTTTGTTGTTATTATTTTGCATTAATTCTTGATACAACGATGCTATTTTATCCTCTAATATTCTTTTCTCTGGTTCAATTTCTCTTCGTGCTATTTCTCTCGCATTATCCCTTTCGGTTGTTAACGTTTCTATCAACTAAAAATTTGAGAAATATTTCCAATTTTTGTTTTTCATTACACTTGTCGTTTGCAGACGTGTTATCTCAAACAAATAAAAAAAATTCTTTTACGCTTGATCGGTTCGAGTAGAAAGAAAATAAACGATAACAAGTAAAAATAAACAAGAAATAAGAATACAAATATTTAGACAAAAACCGTCATGTTCGTGCTTATAAAAAAAAAAAAAAAAAAAAGAAAAATTGTTTTTACCACATTTTTATTGTTCAAATTTTGAACGCATTCGTCGAGTTTCATTTCCGTCGTTTTTAATCTATCCTCGGTTTTTCCAAGTTTATCTTCCAACGACAATAATTCTTCTTTATGGTGTCTCACATTATCAGTTGCTATTTGCAATTCCTTATCGTATTTTTCTTTCATAGACCTTAAACAGAGTTTGTTTGTTTGTTTTTTGTTCACAAAACGTTGGAATTATACAATTACGTATATGTTTTTTTTTTATTAGTCCATCGTACAGTTTTGTTGATTTATTTTTTACTTTTATTCTCGTATCATTATCTTTATTCAATATTTCATTCGGGGTTGGGTGGAGGGTGTGTGGGGTTGGGTCAGGGGAAGGTTACAAGATACATACTTTAATATTGTATCTTTTTTTTTTTATTTGTAATATTTTTTTTTTCCTTTTTTTTCCCTTTTTTTGTTCTTTATTAATTTATTTGTTTAATTAGAATCGAACATGTATATGTATTCACATTTTTATGTTACCGATACCGACATTGATACGGAATGGATACTTTTTCGTTTTTTTTCATTAGTTTAACTTTATGAAATTTAAGATTTGAAATGTTAATCTCGATTAATTCATCGATTAAATCGGTATCTGTAAAATAAATGTGAATATACATATGCAATTGGATAATCCTATGTTTTTAAACGTATTCATCAATATCATCGACTCAGTCATGTCATAATCATTGTTTATTACGTATGGCTATTTATTTTACGACGTATTTTATTTATTTTCTTCTTAATATTTCATTTTTTTTGTTTTTTTTTTATTCTTTCCACCCTTCTCTTTCATTTTAAATATTTAACCACCTTTTTTTTTTTTATTTAAATGTTATTTTTTTGGGTTATTTTATTTTTTTATAATTTTTTTTTTAATTATTATTATTATTATTATTATTATTATTATTATTATTAATATTCGTTTTTACCTTAATTTACTTTCATAACTTTGCTGAACAACCATTTTCATGTTACGAGCATCCTCCTCGATACGACCAATAGCTAATTCGATTTGCCTATCACGTTCTTTAAGACATTCATCCCTTATTTTAGATTCGGATTTTTCTAATTTGATTATTTGTTGTTTCTTGTAATTATCTAACCATTCTGTCCATTCCTTTTGCAAACTTTCACGAAGAGTTTGTTTTTCAGCTTGGTGTTTTAACATCTCATCCTTTAATTCTTTCTAGAAATTAGAACACGTGATCGTTTTAATCTTAAGTATCGCGTTATTTTTTTCTCGTATGTAATAATAATAATAATAATAATAATTACAATGTATTATTCATTTAATAATGTCGTTTATTTTTTTTATTTTTCTTTTATTTGTTAATTATTATTATTATTATTATTATTATTTCGTGTGTTATTATTAATTATTTTTGAAAAAACATTTAACCTGTAACCGGGTGTACGTTTGTCGTATAATCGTATCTTTCTCGTTATCGCGTTTGATTAATTCATCGTTAAATTTTTTCCTTTCACGTTCCAAATCCTCAACGAATTGAATCCTTTCAGTACGAAATTGCGTATCCTTTTCGTCTAGTTTTTCCTTATACCTGACAACACAACACAACACAACAACAACAACAACATTCACGCCTGTCATATGTATGAATTTGATTTATTTTAATTGACTAGTACGATGATGTGTGGATGTGTATGCAGTGTATTTATGTATGTATGTACGTGTAATACATGTAATACGTGTTTATGTTTATTTTAATATTTTATTTTTTTTTATTTTTTTTTTCTTCTTCTTCTTCTTCTTAATCATCATCATGAAATTTTTGTTTAGCTACCTGGTCCATAGGATATTCTTTTCGCTTGCTAATAATTTGTCGTTACTAGCTGTAAGTTCTAAACGTAATTGTTCTAATTGCTGGTTCGAGCGACGTATTACTCGCAACTCGGTATCCTGAAGTTCCTTCATATGAGCCCTTCGTATTTCCTGAATCTCCAGCTGATGTTGTTCGACCATACTTCGTAATTCGGGTTCTAATCCCTTAACCGTCATCTCCTGCAGGAACGTTATCATCCATCTTTGTTATAATATACATACACACATCACACACACAATTTATATTTTTTTTTTAAATTGAATATCATTAAGGTATAACACACAAATAATATTTAATAAAAAAACTTTGCTTATGATAATCAAATTCTTGGAAGGAAAGAAAATGGGTGGTTGAGGTTTTGGGTGAGTTCAACCAATCGAAAGTGAAATGAATCGAATTTTGTTGTTTCTTTTGCAACTAACACCATTAAAACGACGAACCTTAATCTTCGAAGTTCTCGATTCCAACCATCTTTCACGTTTGATCTTTTCGGATGCTGCGAAACGTTCCTTGGCACGTTGCAATTCGACAATATGCCTTTCCGTACAAACTTTCAAATCCTTTTCCGACTTTAATTCAATTTCCTTGATCCTACGTGCCAAGGTATTACATTTGTCGGTTAAATCGGTTTTCTCTTTGATCAACTTTTCCATAAACTTTTGATGCCTCTTAATGATAGTTTGATATTTCTTTTCTTGCGTTTCCAATTTAGTTACGTGACTTTTATTTTCAACGTTTAATTTTTCACAAGCAATTTCTCGTTCCTTTCTCAATTCTTTTTTTAATAAAACAATTGTGGCATCCTTTTCCTCCAATTGTAATTTTGCGGTAGCCAATTCGTCGTTGTAAACATTTGTAAAATAATTTTTCAATGAATTTGACCTAATTTATACACGCGTGTATATCAAATATTTACAAATGTTGACTTTTTTATTTGTCAATTAAATTTATTTGAAAAAAAAAAAATGTTATTTATCTTACTTATCGTGATTTAAATAATAAGATGAATTATTTCCATCATTTAAAAATATATCCTGAATAATTGTATTCCTTTGTTCCAATTGATTTCCATGTAATTCATTTGGATATCCTAATTAAGTAAAAAATTATAATAATTATATAAATAATATATATATAAATAAATAATACACGCCTAAAACAATGTTAACATCAAAACGTACAATTTCGTTGCATTTAAATGCTTATGTACGTTTCTTGATACAAGCATGTATATTTATATATATATATATATATATATTTTTTTTAAATAAATAAATAAAAAGTACTTTTATATACCGATAATTGATTTAATAGAATATTATTGTAATGTGTGCGTTTTTTTTTCCTAATTAAAACTAATTTTAATACTCCCGTTTGAAGAACCAAAAAAAAAATGTTACATATATATGTAATAATTCATGTCATTTCTTCAAATAATTTTGTTATTTGTTTGTATTTAATTAATACCATCTTCTAGGGTTGATAAAAATGACATAATATCATCATAGGTAGCTCCGATGGATCCACATTTATCTTTGGAACGATCTCTTTCTGGTTCTAACTGCAAATACGTATTCCAATTACGTATCACACCATACAAATACAATAAATATATATATAATATTTAAATATAATTAAATTAAATATTAAATTTAAGTAAAATTTAAATATTAAATATAATTTAATATAAATTAAATTATAATTTAATATTTAATATTAAATATTTATAATTATTATTTAATATCATTATATAATATTACATAATATTAATATTAAAATTTTAATTATATATTATTAATTTATTATTTATTTATTT